GTCCCAGCAGCATGGACACAGCAGACAATTATAACAAATGTCTGTTTATTTAAACTGGTAAATAGATTGATTTTTAATATGTCCTCAATTATATTCAAGTTATTTTACAGTAAACATTACCTACCTGTTAGTCTTCATTTTCCACCGAGAGAAGGAGGCTTAGGGATTAAATTGCAGCAGAAGACGTACGTTTGAGATTAAAGGACAATTTCCTGGCTGTTTTGTGCAATTTTGAAATAAGGCACTGAATGGTCATTAATGTCCTTCATATGATAGTTTTAAAACCAGTATGGACACTTTCTGAATGGATTTTTTTTTATCTTGAGATAAATGAATAAAGTAGATAGCATTCTACTTTAATTCCACGATTTTACTCTCCAGCATTCTCCTTTATTTGAAATCTATTTGATAATTCTAGGTAGAGACTAAAGTTTTAAAAGACTAATCCCAATATTTGTAAATTTATTTAAATAAATGCTGTATATCTACCTACCCTGAATTTCTCTGTTGTAAACATCTTATTTTCCTTATTATAGAAAGGTTAGAAAAAGTATCATTTTAAAAGGTGGTGAGATAACTTACAAGATACCCAAACATGAAGTATAGTATAATTCTAGACTTTGCACAAGCAGTGTAGCTGGGTTACAGTGTGCCCTCATAGAATTTGAAAAGAACAAGGATATTTAATTATTGTTTAAAGTTGTAGCTACTCTGTTAAGATCTTGAGTGACATTAATTTTTAGTCTAGAAATGTACCATATCTTCAGGGTCCCTTATGCCAGGAAGGACGCTATGCTGGACCTAAAACAAATTACTTTGAAGAAAGAGATAACAGAATTATCTGCATCATTTCTTCCTATTTATCTTACCATGCCCATATTCATATAACTAGTTTCATAGTGAATTTATATAATATGAACTCAGTCTCTATACTTGATGTATTTGGAAAAAGATGTATGACATTCTCAAGTGCCTTCAGTAAGATTATTATCTAAAAATTTAAAAAAGTATAACCAAAATAATATGAAAACAAAAACTTTGGTTTTATTACCTATTCTATAACAATTCACTTAATCATAAAACAAACTGTATTTTTTGTTGTGGTGGTGGTGGTTAATCATCTCCCGAGGATATTTTTCCATTGATTTTTAGGGAGAGTGGAGAGAGAGGGAAAGAAAGAGAGAAACATCAATGTGACAGAAACACATCGATTGGTCGCCTCCTGCATGAGCCCCACCAGGGCCTGGACCTGGGAATAGCCTGCAACCAAGATATGTTCCCTTTCCTGGAATCAAACCCAGGACCCTTTGGTCCACAGGCTGATGCTCTATCCACTGAGCCGAACAGGCCAGGGCAAACTGTAGCTTTTTATATAATTGAAGTGTGGATATAATATGACTTATCAAACTTTCTTTTTTCTTTTTGAAGAGTTTGGATTCTGACAAGCCCATGGAACCAGTAAAAAGATCTCCTCTTCGCCAAGAAACAAACATGGCCAATTTTTCTTACCGCTTCTCCATATACAACTTGAATGGTAAGATATAATTGGAAATAAAATGTAAAATAGTGTACTAAATTATATAACGTAAGAGCAGTGCAGCTACAATACCAACTAGCTCAACATAGAAATGATATGCATAACTTGACTGAGTTCTTATATTTCTTGATTTGTTTATTACTATTTCAAACGATCACAGAAAAAAACAAACTGGAACATAACTAAAATAGTTTTCTAGTTGAGTTATTAATAATTGCAAAGTATATACTCAGGTGGAACCTAAAGTCTCGTGAAGTTAGTTGTTAGTAATTTTAAAATCAGCCCTCTGGCCTTTATTTAATGCCCTCTACCGAGTCAACTTTATAGTGTTTGAAATTGACATTTCAATCTGTAATTTTTTAGGCCTTACATTTCTCTTTATGCCCTCAACTTTTTAGGTAACTTCTCTACCAGGGCACTGATAATTTTGACAACTTAGATCCTCTGATAAAAAGTTGCATTATGGATGAGGTTAAAACTAGGGACGGTGTACGATTTTTGCATTATTTTTACTTTCAACTTATAATTGTGTTCTCTGATGGCTAAAAATCTTAAAAGATGGACTGTTTACTTCTAAAAATTTCTCTTAAAAACCTGTTAGGAATACTATATTTGAGCGGCTTTAGGACCAATAGGATGAATTTTTTTGCTTCTTTCCCTGCATTCATTAACTGATTTGTAATAGAATGTATACATTCTGATTCAGTTGTTCTGGAAACATCATATATATTGTTCATTGCAGAAGCTCTGAGTCAGGGAGAAACTGTGGATCTGGACGCCCTGATGGCCGATCTTTGCTCAATAGAGCGGGAGCTCAGCAGTATCGGTGCAGGAAATAGTAAGCGTCAAATCGCAGAAACAAAAGCCTCTCAGAAATTACCTCCTAGCCGACATACAACAAAACATGGCACCTTGAAAGGATTGTCTTCTTCATCTAATAGGATTACTAAACCATCACATGCCAACTACTCCCTGGAGGATATTACTGCACAGCTAGACCAGGCCTCTTTGAGCATGGATGAGGCTGCTCAGCAATCCGTACTAGAGGATGCTCAGCCCTTAGTAACTAATCAGCACAGAAGAACGGCATCAGCGGGCACGGTCAGTGATGCTGAAGTGCGCTCTGTGAGTAACTCCTCTCGCTCCAGCATCACTTCTGCAGCTTCCAGCATGGAGTCTTTGGATATTGATAAAGTAACGCGCCCTCAAGAACTGGAATTGACACATCAGGGGCAGCCAATTACTGAGGTAGGTAGATGAAATTTTTTTTTTGCTATTTTAGTACTAAAATAGAAAACTAGTTTTTAAATATAGTTTTAAATAACTTATTTTCTCTACATTTAAAATTTATCAAGGATACCTCTGAGCTAAGTTTTAAAATCATTGCAAAAAGTATATTACCAACTATGGCAATGTCACAAAGAAGAATAAGAGGATAGTATTTAGTTTCATTTTTATTCTTGTGACTATTTTGAAGTGTTTGAATTGATGTTACCTGTTTCACATTAATAAAAAAAAAACTTGGCCCTGACCGGTTTGGCTCAGTGGATAGAGCATCAGCCTGCGGACTCAAGGGTCCCAGGTTCGATTCCAGTCAAGGGCATGTACCTTGGTTGCGGGCACATCCCCAGTAGGGGGTGTGCTGGAGGCAGCTGATCGATGTTTCTCTCTCATCAATGTTTCTAACTCTCTATCCCTCTCCCTTCCTCCTGTAAAAATCAATAAAATATTAAAAAAAAAAAAAAAACTTGAAATATACCCGGCCAGCATGGTTCAGTGGTTGAGCTATGAACCAGGAGGTCATGGTTTGATTCCAGATCAGGGTACATGCTCGGGGTGTGGGCTCAATCCCCAGTGTGGGGCATGCAGGAGGCAGCTGATGATTCTCTCTTATCATTGATGTTTCTATCTCTCTCTCTTTCCCCCTTCCTCTCTGAAATCAATAAAAATATATTTTAAAGGAAAAACCCCCACAAAATCTCAAAATGTGGGGTTTTTTTTGACATTTGCAAAGTTAGTATGGCTTGTAAGCTGATAATAATTGCTTAATATGTATTTATTATAAATTAACAACTTAAGAAATTTCTTAAGACTCATATTCCCATTGTAGTCCTCCAAGATTCTAGTTTTTAGGGCTCGCTGAACTTTATTATGAAAGAGTCGGTGTGGTATAGTGCAAAGAGCCACTGGGCTTGGAATCAGAAAACTCAGTTCCAAGTGTTTGCCACTCACTATCCATAGAACCTAAGTGAGTTTATCCAACATCTGTGAACATCAATTTCTCAAAAGTAAGAGAGAGCTAAGGGTACATGGTCTGTCTTTTTGTACAGTGGTTCAGAGTCAAAAGGATATAATATACATGAACAGATTTTTAAAGATGAAGTTTTTCTTGATGAAGGATGAGGATAGAGAATAGATTTGTGATAAAAATAAGTTTGGGAAAAACTGAGTTTAGTTTTACTGAAGGTCAATTCTTGTGGGGTTTTGTTTTGTTTTTTGTGAAGAAGGCAATTTTGTTATAGGGTAGCAAAAATAAAACCAGCCTTCCATTCACTTTGTATTTACAGTGTCCTCTAAAAAAGGTAAAATAACCTATTCATAAATAATCAAAAGTAAACCTTATAAAACATTGTTTAAGGAATTGCACAGAAATGTAAAATTTATACCTATTGACAGTATTGATTTCCCCCCCCCCCATTGATTTAATTTACTAGATTACTTTTCATCACTCGGCAACTCCATTTATCTAGCTTTGTTCTTGGTAATGTGGAGCACAAAGGAGGTTTGGAGATAAACGAGTTTTATTGTTTCTAAGGAAATATGTCACTTCATCATGGTGGTTTGGAGATAAATGAGTTTTATTGCTTCTAAGGAAATATATCAGTTTAAAGAATAAACATTTATTTAAAATGAAACTTAAAGTGATAGATATTCTGTAGAGAACTTTAAAACTGGTTTCTACCTTATGATACCTGGGGATTACATTTAGCACCAGTTATTTATTAATATGTGTCATTTATGTATTTTAGATTTACCTATTGGGAAATGACCAATATTTTACTGGGGATGTGCTTTCTTGGTTTTATATATTGATATTCCTTCTTTCCAATCAGATTATTTTTAATTGAGTCAAGATGCATGGAAACAGGTTAATCATTCAGGGTGTGTGTGTGTGTATGTCCATGTGTCCATCTATAACATACCCTCATTATAAAAGTTCAAACAATAAAAGAGCAAATGAAGTGAAAAGTCCTCTCCCAGCAAACACTTCACATGGTATCCAGTGGTATCCATGAGCGAGGAAACCAACGTTCAGTGGTTTTATGTTTAACGTACGGCTTTAATACAAGGTTTGGTGAGTAAATGAAGAAGCATACAAGAAAGGGAGTTAAGGTCTTCTCTGTTCAGCCTGTTCTTTTTGCCTTGCCCAGATGAGTAGAAAAGTAATTTGCTTCTTTTGGAATTGCACAGAACTGTAAAAAGTATACTTTTTCTGGATGTAGTTTGTTCTGATTCAAGTCAAGAAAACTAAGGGAGTCTATTACTAGGTCCCAAATCCTTATTCCCACACTCATACACAATTTTTAAAAAAACATTAGTTGGTAAGTGTGGAGCTCAAAGAGTCAAATGGTTCTATAAGAGTTGTAAAAAACACTGCTGTGTATACATACACACCACTTTCTGCCCTCCAACTCCAACCTTTCTCCCAGTTGATTAAATTTCATACTTATTTCAAACAGAATTAGTATTCTACTAATTTCATCTTAAATTGTTTATATCTTTTGGAATCTTTACGCTAGGATCATTCTGAGGTCTTTCTCCAAAGTAGATTCTTCCAGCCTTGCCTGGAGGGCATATGCGGGTCCCAGTGCTTTAGCAACCCATTGGGAAAAGAAGTCTTAAGAAGTGGGATGGTCCTCAGTGTTCAGTACGTGATCTTCCATGTAATCCTAGGTCAGGGTTTCTTAACCATAAGTTTATTGACATTTAGGTCTAGAAAATTCTTCATTGTGAGGAGCTCTCCTATGCATTGTAGGATGTTGAGCAGCATCCCTGCCATGTACCCACTAGGTCAACACCCTCCAGTTATGACAACTCAATATGTCTTCAAACATTACTACATGTTCCCTGTAAGGCAAAATTGCCCTCATTTGAGAATCACTGCTTTAAGTTCAGAGTTAATAGCAGATCTGAGCCCTTTTATTCATGGAAGATGATCTTGGGTTTTCCTTCCCTTGAATTCATTTACTAGAAACTTAATAAATATAGAATGTTTTCAAGCACTATTGTTTGTTGTAAATTGACCCCTGATTGGTGAGTGCATATGAATCAGGAAGATGGTGAGTGAACTTTAGAAGCCGATGAAAAGTCATAGACCTTGGCTTCCTGGTGTGCAGCTCTTGTAAGTTAGCATGAACACATTTTTTGAGGGGCCATGGCACATACACTCATTATTTGTGACTAGGGGTCCAGTGCACAAATGTGTGCACCTTGAAAGGAACTGTGGGCTGTGAGGCTGTGGTGGGCACAGGGGTGGGTCTCAGCCCATCCTCGGCGCCCCCGCCTAGCCCCTCCGGCCTCAGCCCCCAGTCCCCTCCCTGCCAGCAGCCCCGCTCCCACCGCCGCTGCTCCCATGCAATGATGGCACCAGCCCCGCTTGCACCCACTGACAGCGCCGAGTGATTGGGGCCGGCGCCAGCATTGGTGCTAACCGCCCATGCTCCATGCTCCTGCCCAGCCCCTCCCACCACGGCTTTGGTCCCCTGTCTGTTGGTAGCCCTGCTTCTGCTGCTGCTGCTGGCACCCACTGAGCGACTGGGGCAGGCATCAGCAGGTGCCCCAATCACCCCTCAGGAGCAGATGGAGGTGGAGAAGCCCTCAGGGGCGATCAGGGCCAGCCGCCGCCACTTGCACCCACTGACGGCGCTGAGCAATCGGGATCAGCACTGGGTGCCAGCAGCGGGTGCGAGCAGTGGCTCTGGTGCCATCAGCAGGTGCGAGCACCAGACAGGACCGCGGCTTGTGGAAGCAAAGAATTTCCAGTAACCACCAGAGGTGAGCCCTGCCTTGGTCTGGCGCCCCCGCTCACCTGCTCCACCATCCTGATACAGTTGATGCCTGCCATGTTCTGCACTCTGCGGCCTTCTGCATGTTCCGCATATGACCCCTGGCGGTCAGCGCACGTCATAGCTGCCGGTTGTTCAGTCGTTCCGTCGTTCAGTCCATTTGCATATTAGGGTTTTATATGTATAGATAAAACCTCGGAAGTTTGATCAAGAGATTGGGAGTTCAATCACTCACTGTGATGTGCGCTGACCACCAGGGGGTGGCGCAGAACAAAGGAGGCCTTAGCCAGCAGCTGGCAGCCTGGGAAGGGAGGCCCAGCCAGCAGCCAGAAGGCCCTGATCAGCCCTGATTACCGGCCAGGCCTAGAGACCCTATCTGTGCACGTATTTTGTGCATCAGACCTCTAGTATATAGATAATGTACTACTGGTTCCTGTGGAGCAGGAAGTTTTTCTAGCCAGGTAATTTCTGTACTTACCCCACATGATCTCTTTCTCTTAACAATGGTTGGTCCAAAAAAGACCCCTGGTGGGCTGTATAGATATCTTCTGAAGATAGGTACGTCTCATGCTAATGCACACTGTCTTTGTCTTCCCATAGAACTAAGTAAGCCTGGTGCCAAGCTCTGTTCATTAGGTTCCACATATGAGTGAGATCAGCAGTGAATATCAATCTGAACCAGAGATTGCTGCTGGTTGGTGAATAAAGGAGGGAATCTGAGAATTAACTGCATTCTTAAATGCTTTTAATCAGTCCTCCTGCCTTTAGTTTCACCTTCACTTCTCTGCTTCTGGAGAATTTTAAGATTACATAATGTAAATTGGGGTGCTCCTCTGCTTTTCTCCAGCACTGGCTTAGCATCCAGCTTTCCTTAGGCCTGCTGAGTTGTTATCACTCTGCCATATGCTTTCTAGCTTGCAAAATTTTGTCTTTTTTCTCTTTACTTTAGTTGAAATACTGTGCTTCCAGGCACTTCAGATATGTTATCTCATTTAAGCCTCCCAATATCCCTTTGGTAGGGGCATTATTCTAAATAAGAGATTAATTAACTGAGAAATCTGTATTTGAATTGCAAAACTAAACTTTTGCCTTTCAATTTTTATCAATATCTTAAAAATAAAGTGAAGCTGATTATTAAAAATGATTATTTCCAGAATGTTAAAGAATGTTTTAGCATAAAAATATTTTTCATGGGTAAATGTAAAAATGAATTCTAGAATAATTTCAATCAGTGTATGCATATAAATTCTTTGGTTAATCTTTTCCCACACCCACCCCTCTGAAATATGTCAGTCTGTTGCATGCTTCAATGTCTCGGGATCTATTTTGTTTGCCAATTTATTTTATTAATTAGATTCCACATATGAGTGAGATCATGTATTATTTGTCTTTCTCTGACTGACTTATTTCACTTAGCATGATACTCTCCAGGTCCTTCCATGCTAGCTCAAAGGGTAGGAGATCCGCGTTTTCCTCAAATGTATAGGCATTATTATTAAATGAAATCTTTCATGGATACACTGTTATAACTAGTATAATATTCAGCATAGTATATCATAGCTTCAGTGCAATTCCTCCACTTCTTTTACTTGTCAGAACTATTTCAAGAATTAATGTGTGCAGAAATTTTGAGGTATTAGAAAGAAAACAACAATTGTATTTATTGTAGCATCAGGGGGGAAACCTAAAGGCATTGAAGTCCATTGAATTATATTCTTAGCAAACAACCTTTTGGTCTGGAGTATTAACTGGGTAGGAGGGAAGCACAAGGCTTTCTGAAATTTTGAGGCCTGCATCACTAAAAGATTGGGGTGGTTAATTGATTTCTCAATTGTTGCCGCTACATTTCTCTTAAAAGCCTGATGGCTATGTTTCTACGTCTCACAGAAATTCATTCACATGTACCAGCATGGTGTTTAATTTCAGATTTTGCTGACCTAGCCTAGTGAGGTTAATAGGAAAGAATAGGTATCAAGTGGAAGAAGAGCTTAGATTTGGCAAAAGCCAGGGGAATTGTCTAGGTCTCACTCACAAACATTTTTCAAACACATGAATTATCCCAATCAACTCTGGCATAAATGCTCTGATTCTTTGTGTGTGTATTACTTAGAAATCTGTGCAATTTTCCTCCTTTGAGGAGGTAAAATGGTATCTTTATTTGGTTTTAGGTCGCTTTGTTTTTTTAAGTTGTGTTGTGGAGGGCTGGTAAAGGACCCTTTTTGAACAAGAATAGAAATAGATCCATCTGTTTTTTAAATTAAGAGCAACTATAAAATACAAAAGAAATAGTTTTAAAAAGCATTCAAATATTTACTGGTTAATTAATGGCCAGGAAAAGAAGAGGAATAAATAGAGGAGTGGGGGGAAAGAAACAGTAGCAGCTACTATATTGAGTGCTTATTCTCTGTAGTGAGCATTGTGCCTTATCTTAACACTGAATCTGCCTGGTGCCTTGTGGAATGGGTACCACTGCCTCTGTTTTACAATGGATGGGACTAAGGCAGAGAGTGACTGAATATCTTTCCCAAGGATATGAACCCAGACATTCTGGTTGTAGAGCTCATACTGCAATGCTTTGCTGCTTCATTACAGAGTTGAAGGAGAATCAAGACAAGGCTAGACTGACTGGCCAGGGCTCTCAGCTCCAGGCCTTACAGACAGGACTTGCATGGGCGGGAGAAAAAAGGCGATAAGATTTTTGCAGTAACATCCCCATCTTGTGGTGGTGGTTAGTATATTCCTGAATACAGTTAAAATTTAACAACTATAAGTTATCTAAATGAATTGAGGTTTAAATAAAATTCAGATGAGGGCTGAATTTTAATTCTAATAGAATTCTATTTCTAGCAACCTTTGGAGATAAGTGCTATTATACCCCCATTTTACACATGAGCAAACAGGTTAAGTAATAAGAGTGACATTGCCAGTAAATAGCTGACCTGGGGCTAGAACTCAAGCCTCCAGCCCCAGGGTCCACATTCTTAACCATTGTGCAATGCTTTAAAAAAAATTTGTGAAAAGCACATACATATGTCAATAAAAGGAATGTAAATATGCTCTATTGAAACACTACTGTGTGGTCACAAACCTCTATTCTTTCTTCCAGTTATAATCTAAGGTGTTAGCTATCAAAAGGAAGTGTCTTGTTTTGTAACTACAGTAGGTCCTCCGGTTATCCTACAGGCGCTACATAACACGATTTTCGCCATAAGTCGAAACCCACCTACATAAGCACCTACGTCACTCACAGGGAACACATACACAGCAGTAATGAAGTGAAATAGTAGAAGAAATTTAAAAGAAAGATAACAATTCCTGACCTTTACTTGTGGTAAATAAATAATAAAAAACATAAAGCACATATATACATACATATGTTGAAATGATGGAACTTTTCTTTTTATATAAATAAATGGGGGATGGTGACGTAACCACGAAATGACGTAAGTCGAGTCCAACATAACCCAAGGACTGTATGTATGACTTTGGTACAAGGCCATGTCTTTATTTATGTTTTGGCTTCTATGTTGAGATCAATGCTTTTCTATATACTAATACAAACTCCCTGCCCAAGATTCTGGCTCATAAATGCTACTACATTCTAACATGTTATAGATCAGTTCAAAAAAGTAGTGATCCATAACTTACTTTGCAGATCTTTGTGGAGAATTTTTAAGAGATTGATGAAGAATTTGATAGCTTTATAACAAATGGAAGTTACGAGATTGGGAATGTTGAGAGCAAAATTTATGTGAGGAATCAATCCTCAAATTTCATTTTTTATTATGGGTTTTGAGCCCAGCTTTTAGATTTAAAGTAATGATGAAGAGTAAGTAAAAATTGGATTGGGGGAGATAATTTTTTGTAGGAAAGTAAATATTTTGTGGAAATGGACCCTAATTAACATGCAATAGTTTATGTCATTACATAATCCCTTTTCAGCTTTGTTACTGTAACAACATGTAATCTTTGTTTGCATGTCCTGTTTTCTATTCTTTTTTTGTCACTTTGCATACATATATTCACTTTTGATAAGGACTTGTTGAATTTCAATGACTATAATGTGCCATCATATTGTTTAACATGGTGCATAGGCAATCATCTCTTTTTGAATACTTTAGATTTAGATTTTAAACTAAATTAACCAATAACCATTTAGAAATATGGCGTGAGCTTGTGTGAGAGTATAGATTTTTTTAAACTTTTTATTTTGAAATAATGTCAAACTTACAAAAATGTGCAAGGATTAGTACAAAGAACTCGGGAAACTCATAGCTGGGACAGTTTTGAGATGTAATACCAATTGATACTTTAGGAGTTGGGTCATGTCATTTGTATAAAATTCTGAAGCTTTGATTTAAATCTTTCCTTGTATTGTGGTTTCCATTAGACATATTGTACTAAGTGAAATTTGTTAAATAAATCTTCCTTTTAAAAACTGGAAGAAAAACAAACAAAACAAAAAACTGTGAACTTAATACACAATGTCTTTTTAGGATTATAATGTATTATGTGAGGAGATGGGTGTCAATACAGACAACCAAACAAGCAATTTCAGTCAACGTGGTGAATACTGTGATAGGAAAGACAGTATTCCACCTTGGTTAAAAGGTCATTGATGACTTTGAAAATGAATTATAGACTGCATTACAACACACGGGATAAAGACTTTGGAAAAGAAAGATGTATGCTAGATGGTAGGGGATTGAAGGATAAGTGGAGGAGATACACTGTAGCTGAGTTCAGGAAATTTGGCAGTGAAAAGGAAAATAGAGTTGAAGAGGAGGAGGGAATCCAGAAGACTTGATTATTTTTTGTCCTTCCTGCCACCAATAAGCTGGACTAGTTGAGTATTAGAGGCTGAGCTGTTAGAGAGGGGGGGCATGAGTGGGATCTAGAACATGCTTAGCTTTGGAGAGGGGAAAGCATATTCATATAGAAGTGGAGAGAATGAGAATATGGGTGTAGCTATAGGATGCATTGTAGTGGTGAAGAGAGATGGATGTGGTAGATGGATGTGATTTGCTTAGTTATGGAGGGAATTGAGGTCATGTGAAGGAGGTGAAAGGGTAAAATTAGAAGCTTGAAGAACTTTGTAACTATTTAGAACAAGCTTTGAGTGAGGAGGAAAGACAGAATGCTGACAAACAGCAGTCAAGGCCCAATTGAGGTCAGAGCATGAATTGGTAATGGACACAGTGTTTCTCCATAATTCTCCCTTAGAGCTCTACTTTCCAGAAGTAGAGTGAGGTTATCCTTAAATTATCAAAGGTTAGGATCATCTGGTTCTTACCTTTTTTTATTTTTGCATGATATAATGAAAGATGCATGCAACTTTTCATTGGCATTTTATTTCAGTGATCTTTTCTCTTCCTGCATGATAATGAGAACTGCCCTTTTCCACCTCCTTTACCTATCATTTTCTTCCTTCCTGCATTTTCACAGCATGCTATTTCTCTGAGATGTCCCAGCAAGCCGGCCAAGCGTCATATTGACTTCACAGAAGAACAGGCTGAGCTGACACCTGTAAGTTCTATAAACATGTCCATGGAACTGGTTAAATATCAATGAAGAGGAATGCATTCTTCAGAACTTTTGATGATGAAACCGTATCATATACCTCAATTTTTCAATTAAAAATTAAACCAAGGTTAAAAATAAATGAGCAAAAGCAAATGAGCAACTCTACGATATGGCACCATTGAATATTAATACTTGTGGTGAGGTTATATAGGTTGTAGCATGTCTAACAGAGAAATTTTGTGTTGGAACCCCCAGCTGGCTCTTATCCTCCAGGACTCTAAGCTTTTTAAGAAATACTTTGCTGAACTCCTAATATTGGGTTAGGTAGTCCACCTAATACTTGGCTCCCATACCCCTCACAACCCCTGTTGTAACTGTCAGTTCTCTCCCTATTTGACTCTAAACTGTGAGAGTAAGAAATGCCTGTCTTGGTCACCTTTGCATCTTCAGTGCCTGGCATGGTTGCAGGCTCAAAGTTGAAACCTAAAAATAATTGAATAAATGAAAGAGGGGAAGATGGAAGAGAGTAAGAAAATGGGCTAATAATAAATCAGTGAAATGGATTAAGATAAGACTAAGCCACTGACTTTGTGTTGTTAGTGATAAATGAAGGAAAATACAAAAAGGCCCCATTTAAATGAAGCTCTGTACATTTTTGTTACCAGTAACATGTACCAAGACTAAAGGCTGATTTAATGACATGCCCAAAGCGGTGTCTTTTACTTTTCTCACTCCTCCAATTGCACACCACTCTTCTCATCCATCTTGCATCTTTCTCCAGTAACCAGTTCCCCTGCCACCCCGCACCTCCTTTCTGAGGAATGCTAGAGTGATGTAGGGACTGGCACCAGTAGGAGAAGGTAGATAAGTAAGGCATTTATTGAAGGGAGAAATTTGCTGCTTCTGATTTCTAGATTTTGGGGGTGGGGGGAGGGGCATGGAGATCTGGCCTCCCTCCCTGCTAGTGATTAAGCAGTGAATAGCTGTCTATGATCATGTCCATCTAGTGCTGTGGTCTCATTTTTAGATGTAACATATTTTGGAGTAACCAGCTATAATGACTATACCCCTTTTATTTTAAGATATTTAAACCTTGAAAATTTTTTAAATGGATAACTCTTGGAGCCTTTAAATAGTTAGATATTCTTACTGATCAGAATAAGATGAGTTATTTTTTAGTGATTTGAAGTCTTGAAATAATTTGAATTTAAGGACTGATTGAGTACATCGTGTAAGATTTTTTTTTTTTGTAAAGTTTTTTTTTTTTTTTTATAATATATTTTATTGATTTTCCACATAGAGGAAGGGAGAGAGATAGAGAGTTAGAAACATCGATGAGAGAGAAACATCAACCAGCCGCCTCCTGCACATCCCCTACTGGGGATGTGCCCGCAACCCAGGTACATGCCCTTGACCGGAATCGAACCTGGGACCTTTCAGTCCGCAGGCCGATGCTCTATCCATTGAGCCAAATCGGTTTCGGCAATGTAAGATTTTTTTAAAGTTTAAACCTTAACTTATATGTAGAATCTAATGAACAAAAGAAACAGACAAACAGAATAGGTCCAGAGGCATGGATACATGGAATAGAATGGCATCTCGGAGGAGAAGGGGGTTAGGGGAACAGGAAGAGATTAACTAATGAACATATACCCGGTATGCATAGCCCATGGACACAGACAATAGTGTGGGGAAGACCTGGAGTGGGACAGGGGCTGGGTGGAGGTGGGGGAAATGGAAGACATCTGTAATACTGTCAACTATTAAATAAGTAAATAGCTAAAAAAAATACAGGCAGTGAAATACCATATAGCAAACCTAACTCAAGTGTAGCTATGACTCAATATTAAGTTAATATATTCTGTTATCTGGAAGTAGTGTGTTTTATTATCTGTGACAAAGAACTTTATGAGAGTAGATGCTGCTCTAGTATTTGTTTATGTAAATGAAAAGAATTTGTTTCAAGAATAGCTTGATATACAGTTAGGTTTATAAAATATAAATTCTAGAATATTTTCTATAATTCCACTTAACTGTGCCATGTATTGTTTTAAATGGTTGTTAGTAACTACATAGCATTAAAACTAATTCGGAATTATTTAGAGACGGAAGTCTGAATTACATATATATCAAAACAACTATAATTTATACTACATGAGTTTAAATACAGTTGCTTACACTTGTAACAAGTTACTAAAACGTCATTAAGGGGAAAAAGGCGGTTAGGGCTATGTTATTCGCAACCATTTTAATGAAAATATCTTAATTGCTTGAATTAATTTAACCATTTTAAGGCAACAGCACTTCTTATTATTTTACTTACATCATTCAATTGCCTTGCAAGTCCTTTACTGTGCAACACATTGTTAGTATCCTAATATAATGAATTAATAAAATTTTACTGAAAATAGGTGATTATTATTAGGCAAAATATTTATGGACATTTTTCCTCTTGGTGTGACTATCACTGAATTGTCAGAAATACTTGCAGAAGTTTTGGAAATGATGTAGTTTTATTCTCTTTTCATAAGATTATATTATTTAATGTGGGCTTTACAAGAGGAAGGAATATGTTTGTCATTAACCTTCGACACCTGTTTATTTGTGCTGTACGCACAGCACTCAAAAACACTGTCCTGGAAAAAAAACTGGCTCTGTGGTCTGTGCAGTGTGTGCCCCATTTCCCAGAGTGAGGATCATCAGGAGTTGGCTAGGACTTGCCTGCTGGCATGGGTGGTATCTGTGCTCCCACCCACCCCCCCTTTTCTTTTTTTCCTCCCCTTTTAGAAAAAATTTCTTTTAGACACATTTTTGTGAGTTTAGGGGAAAGATAAGAGGCTAATAATAGAGAATCATTCTTTGTCTACTTTATATTTTAAACACATAAAACCTCCACTGACTTCTATCGCCTTTTTTTGTTTTTCTCTTTCTGTACAAGCACTCCTATTTGGACAGGGAAACCTCCCTTCTTCTGAGAAACATTGCAGGAAAACCTTCTCATTTGCTGACCAAGGTGAAACCTCTTCTTTCCACCTGTATGTAAATATTTATTGCCTTATAGGTAGAATACAATTTCTGGGTTTGATTGTGCTCTCAGATTTCTCAGATTGTGCTTTCTTATTTCAGCACCTTTGTGCTGAACAGGAGTTGTTGTTTTTTTCTTACTGAAGGTAATTATTTACTGACTTTAATATGTTCTATTGAGAATAGAACATGTTTGCAGTAATTTACTAGTTTTTCACTGAAAATTTACTGTTGTAAATACCTAAAAGTCTTCACAAGTATATTGCACTTTTTCTAGCTTAACGTTGTAATTCACTTGAAAGTCTAAAAATGTTTAACTTTTACTAATGCTTATCTATGCTGTGAGGTTTTTTTCAGCCGACTTTGTTTTCTAATTCTTGTTTATATTATCAGCACCTCATTTAATTAAAACATTTGTTTATATAAACAGAATCTTACTTTACATTAGCTTCATCAGATTGGAAGAGAATGTTGAGTTTTAATTTCTCAGTTCTTCAATTTCAGAATAGTTTGAATTGATCCAGCTAGGTTTTCACTGGGTTGGTATTTTACATCAATTTTAAATCTTTTAGCCATTGTCATCATTAATTAAGGGAAACAGAATAAGGAAGCTGACTATAAATAGCTTTCTGCCTCTTTTTAAATCATGGTTTTATTCTATTATCTTATTTAAATAATGTAAAGTCAAGAATGTCAGACTTGGTTTTTGAAGAATATTCACAGTAATGATAGGTAATGTTGGTTACTTATTACATCAGAGGGTATTTTTTATTTCATTTTTTTCTTAACCATATAAACTTGTGAAAGATGGTAAAGCTAAAATTAAAATCTCCATGAGAAGCAGCTCAAAGAGAAGATCCAAGAGTCAGCAGTAATCCTTTCTCTTGCCTGAGTTTCTCTCTCTGAAGTAGATCTAGGAATGCGTTAGAAGTAGCTTAAATATCAGGGAATGTAGAAGTCGAAGCAGAGAATAGACGTGTACTTTCTAACCTTAGCAAAATTCTTTCCTTTTCCTCACTTCTCTGTTGACTGTGTCTACCTAGAATATTTACTCATAGCTTCAGCTAGCATCTCTGTTCTAGATCATATCTCTGAGAGCAACCAATTTTCAGATAGCCATCAGGCATTTCCTGTAAGATTACCAGTACCAATACCGAAGGTCTTTAACTTCCTTGCCCTGGGGCCTCACAATTTCTATTCAGAATCCTGCCATTCTCCCAGTTGCCCAGGTTTGAACCCTCTACCAATTTTGGTGCCTTTCTTCTTTTTACTTACGACCTCGGCTCTAGTGAAGGACTTGCTATCTTGAGGATTTACTGAGTTCACCCTACCGTTTAATTCCTATTGCCACCACCCTAAAACCAGCTCTTAATCTCTTACCAGAGCCACTACTACACTTGTCTCTTTATTCTTGCCTGTTCCTCCTCTTGTCCATTTTTTACACTGCTCACAGATTAAGTGCAACTTCTAACCATTTCCATGGCTTATTTACTCAACAAATATTTGTTGAGTCATGTGCTGTGCTAGCTATAACATTGTATAAAATGGCCATATATCCCCCGCCTCCCTCAGGAGCTCACAGTCTTCTTATGAAGGTGGATTTAAAAAACATTAACAAGCAAGCATGTAGACAAATTCTAAGTCATGTTTTAAGTGCTGTGAAGGAAGGCTGCATTGCCTTTAGATGGTGAAATCAGAAAAGGCCCTTCTGGTGGCATTTAATCTAAAGCTTGAAGGATGAAAAGCCATCTTGAGGGTCAAGGGAAGAGGTCCATGTAGACAGTCCCAGGGAGAACGGAGCTTGGCACGTTTGAGAAGCTGAATGAAAAACTGGGCTGGAGCCACAATAGTCAAAAAATAAATATATATATGAGGGTCTTTATTTGGATTTGGAGAGATAGCCAGGGAGCAGATTATTCAAGCATGCTAAGGAGTTTAATTTTTTCCCCCCTAAAACTGTTGAAGAGAATAACTTCATTCACTCAACAAATATTTACTATGTGCCACACAGCATTTACAACCCAATATGCCAGTGAACAAAAACAGTTTCTATCATAGAATGAGTGGTTCTTTGCAGCTTTTGGATAAATGCAGTCAGTAACTTCTCATCTCCCTCTGCCCAAGTGATGGTGATGCCAACGGCAGCGTCAGAGCCATTCCCTCCTCAGATCACATCTCCGGTTACCCCAGTGGTGGTATTGCTGGTGTATATAGTCAATATCCTGCTTTCATATAGTAAGAAATTTCAGCAGTAATGTGATTCTGTAGCATAGAACCTAAATATTTAGGGTGGGGTAGTGAATGGAGTCAAGGATGAAGTGGCAGAACTTCTAGATAATCTGAGCCACAGGGGCCTCTCAATGTCAGTGCCCTCTGTACCAGAGCACCTGGCTGTCATGAAGCTGAAATGAGGTTATACCTCTTGGATAGCTCCTGTGTGGTCGTCTGGTTCTCCCTGCCCAGAGGACATATGTCCAGGTTACTGACACACCTCTGACCTGCTCCCTTCCAAACTAGGACATTGTCACACCCAGTGGTCAGTACATAGCAGCACTGTGCTTAGGCCAGGGCAGCAAAAAGAATGGGTGGGTTTTTTGTTGTTGTTTTGTTTTCATCAATCCAGGCCAAGTGAAAATTTTTATTTTTGACAAGCAGTGTTTATTTACTGCTATCCCAAAGTTTGTGTTATAACCCTTAGGACAAAAGGAACTGTCACGTTGTAGTGTAAAGAGCAAGCAGTCACTTGGTAGCTGCCAGTATAATCTTAGAAAGATTAGTCTTTTGGGGCCTTAATTTAGTGTGTGACAAGTTTCAAGGTGTCCAGATAATGTTAGTTCTCTTCTCAGTGAGAGTCATATCAATTTCATGATTTCTTTCTTTGCTTTATTTTTTTAAATTGATTTTAGAGAGAAGGGGAGAGAGAGAGAGAAAAACATTGATTTGTTGTTCCACTTAGTTATGCACTCATTGGTTGATTCCTGTTTATACCTTTATCAGTATCAAACCCACAAAACGGTGTATTGGGACACGCTCTAACCAACTGAGCTTACACGGTCAGGACAGTTGCATGATTTCTTTAAGAGAAGTAAACTAGTTACTATTTTGGCCCTAAACAGTTTTCTAGAATAGACCACTTCATGGGCATCAAACTCTTTACTACTACAAGTTTTCTTTTAATTCTTTTAATTTACATAGCTTGTTTATTGTTATAATCTGTGAAATAAACTAGATCCCAAAGAAACTGCTAACTTCTCTTTAGCCCCGTAATTTCAATAAGATTTGTTCTGAACCCACAAAGCCTTAATAATTTCTTAGTTGAAGGAATTCCCTAGCCGTCTGTTAGCAGCTGTAACTCTATAAGTATTCTGTTTTTTACACTGAAGACAATGCTCTAACACTTTGTGGCCACAGCATTGGCTTTCATTTAATCGTAAGATCTTCACTGAGTTTTTGTCCTTGATGTAAATTTGAGGAGGCTTGGCATTTGATGATTATTGATAGCCACACAGGGGTTTTTCAGGTAGAAAATAGGTTGTCTCTTGCTTTTGTAAGAGAAGGGATAGGAAAGAAAGTTCAGTTATTATATGTGTGAGGTATCTTTTACATATATTTAGGATAGTTATGGGACAAACAGGGTGAAGAAAGGGATAGGCCAAAGATAAGGGGCAGAAGACTTAAACCCGGAGTTTGTTGGCTTTAACAGAAAGGAGAGAACATGAGATGAATAAAGCTCTGTTCTTTGTTTTAGCTTGAGTTGCAGATAGTAAACATAGATTTGCATTACCTTTATAAATAAACTATTGAATATCTTCTAAGTATATAATTTAAGTACATTAGGAAAGATATATTGATCTTTCCTATATTGCACAATACTCTATAAGCTTATAACAGTTTCTTGTTGTGGTTAAAAGATACGATCATGGCTTAAATAAAGTAGGTGAAATCAAACTTTCTGAGGAAGAATAAAATACTATGAATTTTGCAGTTTGATATAAACATTTTATTTCCACTTTTGCTCCAAACTCTAGAACTTAGAGGTATCTTGATTAATTGTTTCTTCAAAAAGCTCCTAGCAAGGACATTCTTGTTAATAAACTGGAGAAGAATGAACTTAAATTTCCCTAGGTTGAAATTAAGCTAGCTTTTAAATTTGAATTTGATAGTTTTAACACAAACCAATTTATGTAAAGAATAATGTGTTAAGCAAATAAATTTGGGTGTTCAAATAGCCTACCTTGCTGTTTTACCGAAAAATGGTTTCTTATTGATGGTTAGGAAATCTCATTGGTTTAATGTATGTTCATTGGTTGCATGTATCTTGTTTCTTTCCTTTTTTTTTTTTAATGGAATTTATTGGAGTCTTTTGTTTCTTTAAATTTTTCTTCCAGTGTATCAGCTTTTTTCCTGTTGGCCTGTGGAGCAGAAACTGATCTGGGAGTTTAAGCTAATCTTATAATTGAAATATTTTTTATGTCATTTCTTCAAAAAATAGCACTGATTGTGTTCTAGATAATATACTAAAAGGGGAGTTGTGAAAATAAATTTTCATAATAAAATTTATAACCAATATCAGATGTGATATTTGAATTATTATATTCCTTTTTTGAATAGACTTTATATTTTATAGTAAAATTTAGAGGGAGGTAAAGAGATTTCTTATATACCACTTACCGCCACGCATGCATAGTCTCCATTATCACCATCTCCCACCAGAATGGTACATTTGTTACAGTTGATGGACCTATATTAACACATCATTATCACTCAGAGTCCATAGTTTATATTAGGCTTTACTTTTGCTGGTGTACATTCTGTGAGTTTGGACAAGTGTATAATGACATATATCTACTATTAGAGTATCATACTATTAGAATAGTTTCACCCCCACAAAAATTCTGTGCTCCACCTGTTCACCCCTTCCTCTACCCAACCCCCAACAACACTAATCTTTTTACTCTTTTCATAGTTTTGCCTTTTTCAGAATGTCATATAGTTGGAATGTATAGCCTTTTCAGATTGATTTCTTTCACTTAGTGATATGCTTTTCCATTTCCTCCATGCCTTTTCCTGGCTTGATAGATCATTTCTTTTTTAGCACTGAATATTTCATTGTCTGGAATCAGTATAATTTATCCATTCACCTACTGAAAGATATCTTAATTGCTTACAAGTTTTGTCATTTTATAAATAAGGCTACTGTAAACATCTATATGTAGGTTTTTGGGTGGAGGTAAGTGTTCAACTCATTTGGGTAAGTGTTAAGGAGCATGATTGCTGGGTCGTATCATAAGAGCATGTCTAATTTTCTAAGAACCCACCAACTGTCCTCCAAAGTGGTTGTACCATTTTGCATTCCCACCAGCAGTGAATGAGAGTTCCTGTTACTCCACAACCTCACCAGCATTTGGTGTTTACAGTGTTTTGAATTCTGGCCATTCTAATAGGTGTACAGTGGTATCTCATTGTTTTAATTTGCAGTTCCCTAATGACATATGATTCTGAGCATTTTTTATAGTCTTATTTGCCATATGTGTATCTTCCTATATCTGTGTAACTCATTGTTAAGGTGTTTTGCCCATTTTTAAATTGGGTTGTTCATTTACTTGTTAGTTTTAAGAATTCTTTGTATAGTTTAGATCATAATTCTTTATCAGATATGTCTGATAAATATTTTGCAAATATTTTTCCTAGTGTATATAGCGGTCTTCTCATTCTCTTGAATATGTTTTATCCTAAAGATGTATTACACTTTTGAGGACATCTAATTTTTTTAACTTCTGCATATTGATTATAATATAAAAGAATTTGGGCTTTTAGAAGTTCATGTTTATATTCCAAATATGCAAAGCATTGATTCTGCATACCAGTTTTTCCTCATCAGACTTTGAGATTTAAATTTATAGTAGTAATTTAGTTTTTTTTATTTTATAACCGGCCTTAAGAAAAAATCTTGTTCAGATATATAATCAACAATAATTCTGTTGTTTATTTGCATAAAGTGTGGATAGGATGATTTAATCTTTTAATCAAATGAAAATATCTATAATAGTTTAAGAATTCAGTTTTATCTTACTCCTCTCCATTGTTAAAATAAAGTTCTTTGTTTTCTGTCTAATTGGGTTTACAGATAGTATTTCCAGACCTTGGTGGTTATTATGTTAATTCCCTGACTCCTTTCATTGACAAGGATCAGATTTCTGACAAACAAGCCCACTGTCTTCCCAACCACTGGTTTTTCTCTATTTCACAGAGTAGTGAGTAAATACTAAGCTCAAAATGAGGGGAGAAAGCCTAGAATGTGGAGAGGAAAGCAAAGCAGTTCAGAAACAGGAAAGCCAACAGAATTTAGGAGAGCAGTGAATCTCTCTTGCGGGGAGTTTTTTTACCCTGATAGCTTTAGATTTTTAATGAAGAATAACACACGGGTTGTGGTTTTTAATTAGAATCCACAGTAGATAGTGTTTGTCTGATATAATTAGGTTTTTCTTTTGTTGTTGTTTTTTGTGTGTGTGTTTTTAAATTTTATATTCAATAAAGGAATCTACAAGCTGGTAGTTTATATTTTTCTTAGTTATTTTCCAGAGAAATCAAAGTTTAGAATTAGAAAGTAATCCTTTATAAGTACAGGTTTCCTTACATGAGTTTTCAACTGGCAATTAATGCTACAGTGTACTATGGCCTATTGCTGGAAAGTGCAGGTAAGTACTGGTATTAGAGCACTATATGTTGTTTTAGGAAAAAAATAGACTAATGGTTTAAGTATGGTTGTAGTTCTTGTTAATTTTATTACTACTTATCTAAATTTTATAAAGTAGAAGTTAGTAGAAATTAAATATTTGAAAAATTATTTTTAACTTAAAAATTATCAATTAATTAATGGAAATAAATTTGAGTTTATTGACATGAGACATTGATTATATTGTGTGTATTTTTCCAAAGCAGAGTAAAACTTACAATGTAGCCTCTTCTATTTTTATTGGTATATTAATGAGAATGTACCCACATTTTTTTAATTAAGGATTTATATATGGTTTCAAATAAATTGATACTAGGATTTTTTTGTTTTGTTTTGTTTTGCTATTTTTATGATGATACGTTTTCAGTGTAAGAGAACAAAACATTAGTATGCAAAAAATGGATTGCCCATGCTTTGGAGGGGTAATAAATTCAGAGTTAAGTATTGTGCAGGTGCAACAAATTGGCAATCTCACAGATAACCTATATACATTCATGTTTTCCCTACCCCAGAACCCCAAAATCATCTTCAGATGGACAGAATCAAACTCATTAATCTACTACAGTATAGGTTTCTTTTTTTCTGGAATATGGAATCTAGTTTAATAAGAGATCTTCAAATCTGCATCTTTAAAAAAGTTTATAATATGTGAGCTCTCACTTTGTGAACTCGGTTATTTTAAAATATACTTTATATAATTGTGTGAAGTTATATTCTTGCTGAAATTCAATGCTAGCAACATCCTTAAGGATAAAAAGACTTCTTTTAAAAATCTCATTTTTTTAGCATTAGATTATCTGAAGTGCTTTTGTTCACAGGAAGAACAAGCAGCAAAATTGAAAGCTGAGAAGATCAGAGTTGCCCTAGAGAAAATTAAAGAGGCACAAGTGAAAAAGGTGATACTTGGATTTTTTTAATCAGTTTTACAGATTTATAAAAAATTGCCTTGTTTATATAATGTATCTCTAAGATAAGGAGAGGTAGAGGGGTATTTCTTCCTAATATATTTTTCACATGTATTTTTTGTGGATAAAATGCATTAACTGAGGGCATTACTAAGAGCAGTACTCAATTATTGGAAGAAGTTTCTAAAATGTCTAATTTTTGGTTTGCATTTAATTTTCTTTTTGCCTTTTATAGCTGGTTATTAGAGTCCACATGTCTGATGATAGTTCTAAAACAATGATGGTGGATGAGAGACAGACGGTGAGACAAGTGCTGGATAACCTGATGGACAAATCCCACTGTGGTTACAGTTTAGACTGGTCACTGGTAGAAACCATCTCTGAGTTACAGATGGGTTAGTAATCTCATTGCTTCACTTTTTAATTTCTTTTTAATTCTAACAGTTTTTGTGTTGGAGACATTTATATTTTACCCCCTATAATATAAAGTTGGCTTTTTACATTATCTTTTTTTTTTAAGTATTTTGAGATTTCTATGAATATGAGGTATCTAGTTGAGTTTAGATTTTCTTATAGAACAAACTTTTTGTGTGTTTTTTAAGGTAACAAAATACTATTTCCCTTCAAATAAGAACTGCATAGATCAACACATTTACTGAAGACCAATGTATTCACATTTGTATTGAAGTCTTTATTCCTGCATTTGATTTTCAGGGAACAAATAAAGCACAAATATCTTATTTTTAGCTAGGTGTATTATGTCTTAGTTTCCTAAGATTTGTAGTTTGGTATGATGTCTTCTAATAATAAACATCCTCATTTTTTATATCATTCTTGACTTTTAAAACTTTTTTTTTGGTAATATTAGTTGTATGATTACAGAAATCTTGCAGTAATTCTCTTAGCATACTTAATTGAATCAGTAATCAATGTTAACTTGCTATTTTAAAATATGTACCGTATTTGCCGGCGTATAAGACGACTGGGCGTATAAGACGACCCCCTAACATTTCCACTCAAAATACAGTTTGTTATATACTCGCCGTATAAGACTACCCCCTCTTCCGCACACCTTCCACACACCAAATAAAAGGTAAAACAATATCAGATTTGATTTTAACATTTTAATTTATATTCAAATGCTTATGACATGCAGGAAAACTGTCACAAGGCTGTATGTAATCAAACATATACATAAAACAGTGCAAGTTTATTACCGGTAAACATACCGGTAATTCACTAAAGAAAACACACTCTCTAGACTGGTACCGTAGATGCTTCTCAGGAACACAGGCAAGCAGCCCACAACCTAGAGGGACTGTCAATGATAGAAGAAAGAT